TACCGTAAATAGCTATGAAATTGATATTAATCTATTACAATAGCTAATTTCGGATATGACATTTGGCAAAAAAGTATTCACGTTTTCTGTTGTTGCACTTCTCAAACTTCTCTTTGATTGAAGTAAGATAACGAGCCTTACATACGCCACCTATACATATTCATGTGCATTCGGTATTTTGTCTTACATTTTTATTTCTGTAAGGTTAATCATCTTACTTACGTAATTCATAAATGAGTTTTATCATACAAGATTCTTCTATAGTTTTTTAACATCACTGGAAGACCATTGTAAAGTAATTTAAACAATAATTGATATTAGGAAAGATAACTTATAATCTGATAATAATAAATTTAAATAAACTGCGGTAGATGGATACCTTTGGTTATGAGCAATACATGCCTACAGATAGAATCCCTGTAAATCTAAAATTTTCATAATATGTATTATTTCCTTTTAATACTCTTACGCCGAAACTTCAACTTGAGTCACAAAAATGCGCGGATCGCAGTTGCATAGCAGCAACCAATGACACTACTAAACGGCGCAAATTTAGCAGTGTCATTGGTTGCTGCTATGCAACTGCGACCCGCGCATTTTTGCAACCAAACTTAAATTTGGACCTAAGAAATAGTTCCAATTCATTTGCAAATATGAGTCATTGCATCAAGAATGTAAATCTGTATTGTCAGTTATTGCAACTAATTTATTTTAATTATGTTTTGTCAATTTTCAGGTGGCGTTATGCAGATTATTTCTTTTTATATTGAACAATTCTTGAGCTGTAATTGAAGTTATTTAGACGTTTTTTGTTACATTTACAAGACTTTTGTTATCCGCTTTGCTTTGGATGTCGTCAAGATTTAAAAAAATATTTGTGCTGTGGTACATATATTAATTAGATAGATGGTGCATGCGGTTATCGCATGAAATGTTTTCTCTACATTTGGTTCTTAATTTTAGAGTAATACATTTTGTTGGGATTTACTTAGTTTAACTAAAGTGTTTGCGTTTCTCATGAAATTATGTTAGATATGCGCATAGTTCAACTTGCCATTTTTTGGGGGTGTGAAAATATAACTACTCGTATTAGAATGACGTAAATTTACTTTTGCCATAACGGCAGTCAATGTGGATATCAACGTTGAAGAATGCGAAGATTGTTCTTCGTGTATGTTATGATTTATTAAAAGATGGTTTGTGGTTCTGTGGATTTTATTTGACACATATTAACATGGCGAATTCAAATACTAGACACAAGACAGATTTTGAAAATCACGAAAGATAAATTTAAAATTTTTGTTAATACTCCTAGGAAAACGTTACAAACGGCATGTAACAACTAATAATTTCTAATACTCTAGATACAGAAATTGTTGTTACTGACCTGTACATTGACTGCATTACTTTTTTATGTCCATAATATACGGCCGGTTTAATACTCGTAGAAAAACATTTCAAACGGCATGTAACAACTAATAATTTCTAATACTCTAGATACAAAAATTGTTGTTACTGATCTGTACATTAACTGCATTTCTTTTTTTACGTCTATAATATAGGGCCGGTTTACAGAACATTTAATTGCAGCCATATTTTAAGATTAATTTGACGTTTAAATGAGAATTTAATTCGAATTAAATTAATTAATTTGGAATTAAAATGTTATTCGCCTTCTGTTAATCGGCTCTTAGTTTAAAAAAATATCTATTGTCATTTAAATATTGACCACCTTTTATACTGAACTGTGATTTTTTTTAATGTAATTTATATACAAGATGGAAACTTTAACTGCAACAAAAGCATAACTTGACTAGAGGCGATTTCGGTAGCAAATCTCGAAACAAGTTAATTATTGTTTTTCCTTGACCACTATTTGGCGCGTATGGTTTTTGTTTATCTGCTCCCTGAAATGCACATGTAATGGTATATCGTTTAAAATGTCGTTTTGCAAGGAATACTATGTACTATTTATTTTCTGATTATATTCAAAGCCTTCATGATAAAAAAATAAAACCAGTTTTAGAAGATAAATCCTATTGAATGCAACAAATATATCGTTCCTTTCCTGACAAACTGCAAAATGGTAGTAGGTACAAATGAAAAAAGAAAAAAAAAATTAGAGAGGTGGCTGTGCATTTCAGGGAGCAGATAAACAAAAACAAGCATGGTGAGTAAGGAAAAACTATAATTGATCTGTTTCAGAGTTTTTTTTACAAAAATCTATATCCAAGTTATGAATTTTCTTTCAGTCAAAATTTCCACCCGGTACATATATTATGATAAAGCACATTATTATATTATTTCAGCTTTTTCGGTTGCATGCTTCATCCCTCAAAGATAGCTTCTTCAGAGAATCTCAATGCATCTGCACTTTTTCAGCTGACACTGTTTTGTTTCAATTAAGATGCTTTCAATTATTGATTAAATGTCTGTGATTCTTAATGATGGGTACCTACCTACACTTAACTCTCAAAATATATTATTCACGATTTTCGTTTAACGAAAAATAAGTTTGTAGAAAAGACGTGTGTAAATTTGCACTGCATTTGTGCCCGTTTCTTATAATTTGATCGTTATTTTTTTAAAATATTCAATTCTACCATACAGGATGATTCTTAAATGGACCGACAAAATTTTATCATCGGTAATATTAAATGAGAACATACTGGAAAAAATATTAAAAAAATTCTTTGTTTAACCGTTCTCCAAATAAAATTTATTCAAGTTATTTTAGAAGTAAAGCGTACACCACTGATATGTTCGTAAATAGTATTAGCACAGGTAGTGGAAACCATGGTATTAATTTGATGAAAATGTACTTGATCTTTGCAACAATTCATAAACGCCGTAAGTTGCACGGATCAAGGGGGTTCTGCCCCTAAAGATATAAACGTAAAAAGGGTACAAATTATCTCCATTTATCCTTGAGAAGCTCTGATAAAATTTTGTCGGTCTATTTAAGAATTACCCTGTATACAGAATATCCTAGCGAGTTGGTTTTTACCTTTAAATTATGACATTTTAGAAAATTTATATTGGCTATTGATAAATAATAATCTAGTGCATCACCTGAAATTATTTCAACTATAAAGCGTGTCTTAAAAATAAATTATAATATAAACTTGTATTCGTATTTTCGAACTTTTGTTGGTTTTTTTGCTTAGTTTTTGAAATAGGTTGGTTTTCTTGACGAAAACATACTCTTTTTTTAAATTTATTACACAAAAAGAAAAGACAGCTAGATTAGTAATTCCACCACGGATCACTTGTTTGGGATTTGTCCAGAAACTGTAAAAGCCGGCATAAATAATGAAGTTCGAATTATTTTAATGTAAAAAGAAAGAATAATAGATTCAGTGTAACATAAATGTGATTATTGAGTGGTATTTCTTCCCTCTCTTGTGCAAATGTGCGCTTTTTGGCTATTGAAATAATGATTACTTTTTTATTGATGTTTATAGCTAATAGTCTATTAAGATGCGAGTCTTATAACATTTGTCTTAAAACATTTTGTCGCACGCACGGGTTTAGGACACGGTGAGCGCAGCGAGAAGTGTCATAAAGCAGCAAGTGCGACAAAATGCTTTATAAACGAGATATCATACAGTATTTTTTCTACTTTGCACTTTTTTAAACAAGAAAATTAAAATTTCGGAATGTAGGGAATTTTGCGGCAGTTGACAATATTGCGCGGTGGCTAGGTGGCTATGAAATCAATTAATTTGAAACGTCATTATTTTATTCGTAAAAATGAATTTCGAAGGTGTCGAAGATATTTTACAATGTACGCCTCTAGAAACAGGGACTTTGGCGGCAAATACGATGAACAATTTACTCCCTGTGAGATCACACCAATATTGTTTAGTCAGTTGACGGCAAAACCTACCTAACCCCGAAAGTCTTAAAAATAACAGTGAGTACCTTTTATTTTACTTTGTCGTATGGCCTAAAGGTATGCGTAAGCACCACTATTATTATAATGTTCATTCTGAATACTTTTTGCGATGATTAATTAAACCAAACAGAGCAAAAATTTCGTATTTGAATAATTTGATTTGCGTTAGGCCGATTGAGAGTGACAGTTCGATAGAAAAACGGTTAGGTCGCCAACATTATAAGACTAAATTTCCCTCTTTTTAGTATAATTTTTATAGCACTGTTTTTGTTTAGTACGAAACCCAAAATAGTTTCGTACTGGGCCTTAGTACGAATGCGAAGTAGAAAAATATATTTTTAGTTATTAATTGTAAGCACTTAAAAGTCAATGTTTTTGGAAAGATGATTTAATAAATTCTTAGATGCAGGAACAAAAAATTGGGTGTTCCATTTAAATTTTTTAAGTTAGTTAACTTTTCACTAACTTCTTAATTTTTTTACCTGTACAAGTGCATTTAACATGTTAAACAGTTATTTATTATACATAGTTTTAAAATGTGTACCTTTTTCTTAGCAGTTGTAAAAACAATTTTAGCTGTCTTAGTTTTTATTTAGTAATTTTTTAAAGAGTATGTTTTCGTCAAAGAAAACAACGTATTTCAAAAACTAAGCAAAATCGACCAACAGAAGTTTAGCTTAAAAATATTGTAATAGAAAACTACCTCCAGAAATGCCAAGAAACATGATATTTCATTTATAAAAAACATAAGTTTGTATTGTAACTTTCAAGACAGCTGTGTAGTTGAAGATAATTTCAGGCGATGCACTAATTTAGTATTTATAATTTTTTTTTAATATTATTAAGTAAAGGTCAATAATGGACTTTACCAACTCGCTGGGATAGACATAAGTACTATACTTCTTAAATGTTTTAATTTACTACTGTCAGAGCTGCACAATTTCCACACTATAATGACTACGTACGATATTTATAAACTCACAATATATGTAGTATTTAAACAAACGCCCCGAGTTAGCGTACATGAATTAATTTAGTGCTGGTTTGTTTTATTTACCCCGTTGGGCGGATGTGCTTGGTCTTGTTGCTGCTCTACTAATAGCCCGCTGCCGTCTCGCCCTTGCTGGCGCCCCCCCAGGCTACTGCCGCCCTCGAAATCGGCAAGAAGAGGCCCCGTGAGCCTAGCACCGCCGACACAGATCTATTACTGGTACCATTTGCGCCTTGCTTTGCATGTCACTACTTTTCTTGTATTGTGTACACGCCATGCCACAACTCTTAATCGAATCAATGCCGACCGATTACTACATTAATTACATTAAGTTTACAATGAGGACGAGATACAATTTACGAAAACCGACTAGATAAATTTTAGTTTTGTTATTCCAAGAAACCGGTTCCTCGCAAAATTTATGTATTAAAAATATAAATATAATTGTTATCTCTGTTTTTGTTGTGAACTTTTGGCTTCTCCTAAGGCTTTCGCTTTTCATGACTTAATTGGCGGCTTAGTTAGCATAAAAAGTGTACACCATGCAATTTATGTAACATAACTGTTAAATATACACAGGACATTCTAACACCTACACTTTAACCCATGTGATGACGGGTAGCGGTTTGCATCTTAGATAAAGATTAAAAATATTGATTTATGGAGTAATAATAATTTTTAGGGCTTTATGACTGGTGTTCTTGAATAAAGTTTTTGTTTCTTTTTTAATTTAGAAAATCATTCATTTTATTGGGCAACATACTATGTAACATTAGCTTTAATTAATAAAGTTGACTGTTGTCTTTAATGAATTGACTTACGCTTTTACTACATAAGTGATGGGTAGCTTAATTAATCCTAGGAAAATTTTCGGGGAATTGGGAATTGAATAATAAGTATAACAATTATTTTAAATATGAATCAAAACTTCATTTTAATGGTTTGAGTTTATTTTTATGAGTTAGGAAGTGAGTGAATTATATGTCTTTTTATAAACTTGAGCGGAAATAGTCTACATCGAAATTTAAGAATCCGTTTTATAATAAGGACCATTACCTAAATGTTGTTTCGAATGTTCAATAAGATTTACATTCAAAGATGAAAATCTATTCTAAAATATTTAACAATCAGCGACTAACAACGGCTCGTCAGCAAAATCGGATACATATTTGAAATTTATTGTACATTTGTTTAACAACGTCAGGAGCAAGTCGTTTATTCGTTTTCTCATCAATATTTCAAAATTTTTTATTTGAAACGTGATATAATTTTTCTTTTATTTATTATTTTCTGTTAGAATTACTAACATCACTAAATAAAAAATGGTGTTTCGTTATCCAAATTATGCTTGTTTAGTATATTATCGGTTTTTTTAACTAAACAATTGTCAGTGTCAAAATTTGGTATAAAAGTAGTTCATTTCGCTTTAAAAGGGAAAAATGACAAATTAGATCTACATTACGTACCCGAATTTGGGGTGAGCAATACACCATAAATTTCTTTAATTAATGCTATCCAACGAAAATTCTTTTTGATTTTGACACTGACAATTGTTTATTGAATGGAACAGACCTTACGTAGTAGTATCGAGAGATCAAGATAATTTGTAATCGAGTCATCTTTAGATCCGAAAACGTATGTTTGTGAAATGTCAAATAAAATGACAAGTCGGAAGACAGAATGGCATAAACAAAAAGATGATGTTTTTAATAACAAAATTTACGATTTACCTTCAAAAAAGAACAGTCTTATTATTATACTTACGTCGGCGACTAATTTTAGTTCATTTTGCTGTTTTGCCTTTCAGCTTATCATTTTATTTGACGTTTCACGTGCAGCTAGTTCAAAAACAGACATACGTTTTCGGATCTAAAGTTGACTCGATTACATTATTCCTGGAATATTCTCCGGAAATTTTTGGGGATTTACCCATCACTATACATAGTACCATATACGGATAGTCCGGCAAAAAACATTAAAAGATTTTGGAGAGTGATTTTTTAGATCAATATAAGAAAAAGGTTGCAATAGAGCAATGTCGGTAATTGTTTCTTAAAGAAGCTAAAGTCCTCTGAAAATAGCGAACATAAGTTTTTTTTCTATATCTCGGTTGAGATGAAATTCCAAAAATTTGCATCCGAGGAATATTTTTGACGTTGGATCTACAACAGCTATAGTGAAAATGAGGTGAAAATCATAGTTGTAAGAAAGCGGACAAAGTCATCATGGAAACCGTTTTTTACTTGGAATTTTGTGTAAATTACAAATCGCACTTCTAAGAAACTGAGCTGAATTAGAAAATAGTCAAATCGCGGTTAGTATTGGACCATGATTTCTAACGAACGTACAAATACGATCTATCTTTTAAGACGACTGTTGGGAGTTGAGTTTTGAGTTGAACACTGTGACTCACCGTAACCAGAAGTTCAAAGACTGTTTACTTTAACCCTCAGTTGGTATCTAGCGTTCGACTTTGTAGTACCCTTTTCAAAAATGTCTGATCCAGGAAAATTATACCAGCAATTATAAAGTGAAGGACGAAATTTCTTGTTGTTGGACACATTTTTTTAATAGACATCCCAGTAGACAGTATTTTCGTATATTCTATGAACATTTAAAATCTTTTGAAACTCCTGGCTACAACATTCGGTTCGACATTCAACCCTCTTTTAGTCGACTTCAAAGATATTTAAATTTGTACGATCATTAAGAATCGTAGTTCAATACTAACCGAGATTTGCCTACTTTCTAATTTAGCTCAGTTTCTTAGAAGTATAGTCTGCAATTTACACAAAATTCCAAGTGAAAAACGTTTTCCATGATGGCATTTGTTCGCTTTGGTACAAATATGTTTTTTTATTGCTCCACCTCATTGTATTAAAAGCAATAAATCAAAAATTGTGTACGTTAAAGGGGCGGAGGCACTGTGGTCAACCTATTTAAGACGTAAAACTTTGCAGTGGAAAACGGTTTTTGAATTGTTTCTAGTGTTATTTTCGTGCGAGGCGTTGTTTTTGAAAACATCATGATTTTTCTTAAACCTTATATCGATCTTAATTTTGTAAAGCAACCTATGCAGTAAGTTTTTTTTATATAAAGTCGAGTGATTGCTGTAACTCCTTTAGGAAGCATTTTCGGACATAAGTCCTTAAGACTCGTTTTTTTTTCACATTGACTTAAGGAATTACCCTCCAACATTTTTTCTCGACATCCTGTGTGTAACGTACTAATTTTCTGTTCGTAGTTCATCAGTGGTAACGTGTTAATTTGTATATTGGTTATACAGGGTTATTCACGAGAGGGTTATTTTCGATTTTTTTTTGACGCAACCAGCAATACCAATATCACTAACTGCTAAATTAAATATGTTATTTTCTTTAAATTAGAAATCAAAGTAAGTTGGATAGATTTGCCAGAAATGTCAGATAACCTGTATTTAATCAAAATTTAACAAATAAATAACCAAATAACCACTCCTCGCCCATCTACTCCATCAAAATGTCATCATGTTAATTGAAGTTTATGTTCTCGACCATAGGTATAAAATGGTTGTTCTATTTACAATTCTGCAATCTTTTATGCATGACCTCGTAAGAAAGCCCAACATCTTGCGGTTAATAAATTATCAAGTTAAGTTAATATAAAAAGTGTTTAAAGTATCTACCATCGGCTTCTAAACAAACATGCGCATCGTTTGAGAGATGATTTTTTTTGCTTTAATGGCAAAAAGACAAGACTAATAATAGCTATCGTGGATTTAGTTATAATTATTTTCAAAATTTGAAATCAATTGTTGCAATATGTATAATGGATTGCGGCACAAAAAAATAAGAAATAACCCTCTCATGAGTAACCCTATATACAAAAACACAAAAAGCTAATTACGTGATACTTTATGGTTACACAAGATAAAAAGAAAATTTATTGAAGAAGAAATTATTTTATAATTATATTAAAGCGCGAACTGCTACCTGAGTTAAGTTGTTAGCATGTTGTGAGCTATTTTATTTTGCTTATACAATCTTTTTATTTTTCTAACATAATTGAAATTTTCTTAGAAACCTGTGCTTTTTTTTTCTTTGTGCTTAGATGATTTTTGTACGTGCATGACCGAAACAATTTACTTAATCTTTAATATTATTTGAAATATACAATTAAGTATAAATTGGCTTTTCTTAATTGCGTTAGCTTAACATTTAAATTTTTACAGTTTTCTACTGCGGACGTATTAAACTCGCAACATTCTAGCAACTTTAATTACAGCAAATACTGTTAATATATTATTTTTTTTTGGTTCTGTGATTAATATTTCTTAGTTGAGTGTTTTGTCTTTAAGTTACATTTAGACGGAACGACTCCTTCTAGACTAACTTTGTTAAGGTGGGAAATTTTATCCATGTGTATCATAAGTGTTCCTGAAAATATACCTTATGGTTAAAATTATCCACTTTTATTTGTGTCGTTACTATAACTAACGAGCTGTTACATTTTTTATTTCAGATGGATATGAAATCTGTTGGGTCATTTTATTATGATAGTTTTGTAAGTACTAACATTTTTTAAAGCATTTTAATTTTTTGAGTTGCACTCTGTCAATTTGCCATTAACAAGGCTTCGCATAATGTTAAAATTAAATTTTGCAATGCCCACATAGGTTCTTGCTTTTACTTCTCCCTTGTGACGACAGCTTTATAAATAAAACTTATTTGAAATCAATATATTAAACTAGAAATATGATACTTACTCAGTGTGCCTATGAATTGTAATTTTAGGTGTTCGAAGATTTCTTATAATTTTTTTGTTGGCAGGCCTTCCCGGCCATGATGCCCTATAAGAGGCCAGCGGCAGACAAATCTGGTGTTCCTGTATACCAACCAAATGCAACCACTTACCAACAACTGATGCAGTTACAGCAGCCATTCGTGCCCGTGTCATGTGAGTATTCGGTCTCCCCAGCTCCGAATCCTACCACATCCTGCGCTTCTCCTGCTGCTCCTCAATCACAGCAGGAAATCACAGCAACTACAACGGTGTCGCAACCAGCCAAGGAGAACGAGATTTCAACTCCCGTCTCCTCGACTGCTTCGTCTGCACCGTCAACTACCCTACCATCTCTGCCTCTGTCTCAATCTACTGCCATACCAGATCCCGCAGCTCTTGCTAAGGAGGTCGCTCAACAGAATTACGCGAAAGCCGTTAAACTAGCAGCTGTAAGTCAGTCTTTAGCTGCTGGCCAGCTGAATCAATTGAACCCCTTGAACTATACGGGGGTTGCTTTGAACAAGCAAGCGTTGACTGTCCCGCCACCGACTTTAACGCGTTATCCCACTACTGCTCTTCCTTTCGGTTTGGGAACGACAAGTTTAAATTTAGGATTTGCTAATCCTTACTCAATGGCTCAACAAAGTTTATTGAATATTTCACGTCCGCCACCGACAATTATTAATCCGTATTCTATTATCCGAACACCATATCCAACAGCAAATCCAACACCACTTTTGGGCAGTGGCATTTTGGGAACTCAGTATCCTGTCACTGTTTCTGCAGCTCCCATTACGACTGTTTCTGCGAGTGCAAACATTGCTGCCGCAGCAGCACAAAATAACAATAACGTAGTTATTCAGCCTTACAAAAAACTTAAAACTACATAATTTTTAATCAGTTGGTTATCTTAGTTTTCAGGGTTAATTTTGTGTAATATTTTTGGCTGTGGATAATGCCATGTAAAAATTTACCGCAAGTTTACGGCTTTAAAAAAATTGGATAATGTTTCAAACAATTTTGCATTTTGTTGTTTGTAGCAGTGATATCTTAATTTTTGTTATGTGTATAATTAACTTGTGTTATCTAAATTGTTTGTATTTTAAATGAATAAATACTAGTTTAGTTATACCAATATTAATAAAAAGAATATAATTTATATTAACTAAAAAACACAAAAATCTAGTCAACACGCGATCGTGATTTCTAGCAAATGGGTGATGCTGTGAGCGACCCCCGGACCAAAAGCGAGTGCCTGAATACTGTGATACCCTCACACCTGCTGCTTGCACCGCTAAAGGTAACATCCTTATTCCCTGTACAACACAATATTTTCTTTAGTATTTTATAATACGTATTTGCGAGCAGACCTGGTCTGTTATGATTTTATTTTGTAACAGGATTTTTATTTTTGAGATGTACTTGTTAGACCATAATGCATGAAAAATTATGGGTATTCATAAACAATTTGAGAGCCTAATTGAGTCGCATGGTAGATAAGCATTATATTTGTTTAGAGACTAGAAGGTGCCATCTCCCTAGAAAAAAAAATTGTAATCTGTAACTGACTCAAAAAGACATTAGCTCTGGCTGATTATTTGCCTTTTATGTTTTTATCTATGTTGACTTTCGATTATGCATGGAGCTTTCCTTTTGATTCGTGTATATTGCATGTGGTTCCGTTTGATAAATGTTTATCAGACTTGACTTTTCTTTTGTGCTGGAGTTCTCTTTTTGGGTTGGGTATATTTTTGTGAGCAAGCACCGATTCAGCTTTCTCATTTAATGAAATATTAATTATAATAAACCTACCATCGCCCAAGGGCGCTTAGCTATTATTGTTTTGTCTTCCTGGATTTGATCTCGAAGCACAAAATGTAGTTGATTGTCATTTGTTTTTTATAATTAACTGTCTTGGATGCGGAACTAATATTTGGTTGTTTCTAGTCTTTGCCTTGCTTTGACACAACAGCAATCTATTTTAATTCTGTTTCTACAAACTATTCGTACAACGAAGTGTTTTATTCAGACAGTTGTTTTTGTTGTGCTAAATATTTGTGCCGTCTCACAAGATAATATATACCTATTTATATATAAATACCTATGTAGTTTTTGATTAGAATAAAATAGTAGTACATAGTAGTACTTTAGCATAATATATATTTGGTAACATACCCTTAAATGTGTCTTATTACGTAGCATTTAAAAAGGTTTCACTTATACCTTAATGTAATTGGGTACATAATAATATTGTGATGCATGTAAAAATAATAAAAAGTATTTGTCGATTTAAGTATTTACAAAATAATACAAGTATATTTGCATTTTGAAGTAGGATTATATTTCCTTCTAAGGATTATTATTGACAGGTTAGAAATATTTCAATACTCTGTAAGCTAGACCGTAGATCTTTTTATTGTCTAATAACAGCTTTGTTGGGCAGTACGAGTAAAATCTAACTTGTAGCTGCACCACTCTGCGTAATCAGCTGCCAGCTATAATGAGTTATTATAATACTGTAGTGCCTTTTAGGCTGCTGATCACGCTTTGCTAAGGTGTGGGTCACATTTGCCATCAAGTGCCACAAAACCTTTCATATTTATATTTACCACTGTGTATTGTTTATGTTCTAATCCTGAGGTGTATGTATCATTTATTACCGCTATTATTTGTAATAATAATGCTTGAAAATGCATGATATTTGTTTTATTAATCAATGCTTTTATTTGAATATTTTTCCAGTATCCAGTCATTAACTTAAACATAAACCATAGACATTTACTCCAATTCAAAACCTTAGTGATACATATAAGTTCTATATTCTTAATTACAGAGTTCTTACTTTAGTTTTCTTTAATTGTTTATATAGGTTTTTTATTGTAGTAAGGCTTTATGGGATTTGTTTCTGAACACATCCTTTATGAAGTTTTCCTCTTTAACCTGCTTTTGTTAAATTTTATGAAATGGTCTTTTACAGGCTGTAAATCTGATTCGCTTGCCCCACGTTTTTTGTGTTCTACAATTTTGTTTTAGTACCTTACTGTCTCCATTTGATCAAGTCTCAGCTGATTTGAATAACTAACACACACACACACACACTGTGCCAAGGTTTATTTTCTAAATACAAATGTTAAAAATCAGGGCAAGTGTTTCGTTTATTACCTGTAATTTATTAAGATGGTGAAAAATATGCAGTCAGGTCAAACAAAGTTTTGTCTACGACAAAATTCTACCAGAGAGAAAACTTGTTTAATGTGCACTATTCACTATTTCGTTAAATCCATACTATGGCGTTTGGTCTTGTAGTTGAGTTTATTTTTATGATGCACAACATTTACTATTAGATCTTTGCATGCACATTGTTCAAGTTTTTATCATTTAGCTTTATTGGTAGTTAAAAACTCAGCTAGCAAAGGTGATTTTAATGATACGTTTTTTTTTATTAAGTGATTTTAAAAACTTTGTTTTCCACATTTTCTTGTTTCGCTCGGTCTTTGTAGCTTTGTAGTAAGTAAAATATAATACGTAGGCACATGAAATTCCTATATTACTGGTTTGTCTTGTTAACAGACATGTATTCGTTTCTACGTTTATTTATAACGTCACATTTAATACATTATGTTTGCAGAATCCAGCCGCATTGACTAATTGTAGCATCGCAGATTTATTCTACACGTAACAGCTTGTTAGGCATTTTTTTATTTTGTTTTAACGAGATTGTTGCTTCCTTGCTTTAAACTACTTGGTCTTTAGCACTGACGTTTTGTAAGTAATTGCCCATCATGTCTTCCTTTTCGGACCAGATAGTATTTTTCTTGACTTTACTATTTAAATCTTTACTGGTGTATTCAGGGCACATCCAAATTTATTTTTCAACTATCAAATCATTGTTCTCTTGAACTTTTTAATAATATTAATTACGGAACTTTTGATTTTTTGGTAACCCGTTGAACACACCAAGTTTAATTTTGGTTATAAACTGATCTTATAACACGTTGCTTTTCTGTTTCATGCTTACGTTGTCCGATTTACACCGTTCATAATTCTGCAATAATTTCTTGTACTTGCAAAAACATTATTCACACATAAACTGACTGTTTAATTGGGTTGATTGATGTCAATTCTTGATACATGTATGTTCGTGTTTACATATTGTTTATTTTATAATGGCTCTGAACACCGCCATTTTCATCAAACACGTTTTTACTCAATTTTCTTCGTTTTCTAAAATACTTTACTTTAAACCCATTTTCTTTTGACACAAATAATAAACAACACTTGTCTTGGTGTATGGTGGGTATCTTAAATGGCTGTAACGTAATGTTATCGTATTGCTGATTGGCTGCGATGACGTTGGCTTGCTGCACTACTGCATGTCGCCGGCATAGACAATGGTGCGCCTGTGCCCCAAAACGCCCCTTTTGTGGTCTACACTGACGAGCAAGGACAGGTATTCACGTATGTTTAACATCATGTTTGCTGTACTACGTTGCTAAGGTCAACTAATGATATATCCGTAATTTTTGGTTACAAGTGGCGCAGCTTACATGAAGTACGTTACATATATAACAAGTTACAATGTTCTTTTTACTGAGTATATTTTAAATTTAATTCTTATTGAGATTACAAAGCCAAAGTAAATAATTTAGTTAGACACTATCAGCCATTGTAACTTGTTTTTTTTGTTCTTGACAGTTGCAAGCATATTGTGAATATTAATCATGGAAATATTTTGTTTACTAACTTAGTTGTATCACAATCTGATTGCATTTTTAATTTCATTGCTTACGAAACAAATTGTTTGTTTCTAAATTAACGCTACGTAGAGTTTGTGCTTGAATTTCTTACTTCAACTGATTTCAAAATGTCAGTTGATGTAAGTGTTGCTAATTCATAAAGATTTTCAAACATTCTGCATGTAAAATACACTACCTGTACCTGTATTATTAACACTGCTTTATGGTTTTGGCCTTTATTGCTGCCACAAGCTTTTGTTGGAAAATTTGCTCAAATTTTGTAATTGTTTAAATAATGCTACTAGCAAATTGTGTAGCTCATACATTCCCAAACGGCTGAAGTTACAATGCTATATATTAGAAACAAGGTTTTAAATCCTTTATACTAATAATATTTTGTATATCTGTATGATATAAGTGTCTTTACACGTGTGTATCAGAATAGAACAGAAGTGGTGCAGAATGATTGAACTATCTGATCTTTATTGCAACGATTAAGTCACTAAAGTTTTTTAGGATTCTATAACTATTGGCATGTGCATTATTCCAAATTTGTGAATGAATTAATTTACGTTATAGATGTGTGTAGTGCTTATGTATGCCGTTTGTCTCACATATTTGCATTTTTTCATAGATAAATCCTCTCTATGTTGCATACATGCGCACAATTTTTATCTTTTTCCAAATTTTTCCAACTTATATATTACAAAAATAATATCGTGACTTTATGCAAAAGAAATTTTTCAACGATACTTACATTTTGTCTTATATTTACAGTTACTGGACACCCTCCCGGTGTGCCAAGATTTTAATCGAGGTTTATGTAATCGGCCTGCCTGCAAATTTGTGCATCTACTTGAAGGTAAGCATACATTTGATTTTGTTATACATGAATTAACCATATGTACAATTTACGGTACTGTAATAAATATTTATACAGAGTGTGTTAGAACTTGCGCCCCAGGGAAAAATTTCAAGTAAGATAAGATACCAGGAACATGGGAATAATGTTGAAGAAATTGTATCTGTCAAAAATATTTTACATTTATTTTTTGACGTTTGACATTTTTTTATGTCTATTTAATGATACTGATGATCTTGTATATCTTTTTTTATAATTATTTAGTAAAAGTACCAAAATTTTGCCAATAAAAGCCACAAATAACATTAAAAAGAGTTACAATTTAGGATACAGCTGTCTTGTTTCCTCTTCTACTAGCCTGTAGCAAATAAACTTCGAAAATTATTTTTCCAACAGAAAGAACTAGAGTCAAAGTGCAAAATTTACTTTGCTTTGCATCTCTAAGAGCAACTATGCGTTTCATAAAGGCGCTTATTATGATACGCAACTTTATATTAGCAAAGGTTGTTTACTCAACTCGTATCATAATGAATTGACAAACTAATATAACCTCAACATTGTAATATATAGGTGATTCTTAAATAGACCGACAAAATTTTATTCTAGGTAGTGTCAAATAAGTACATGCTGGAAAAAATATTTAAAAAATTCTTTGTTTAACCGTTCTCCAAATAAAATTTATTAAACTTATTTTTGAGGTAAAGCGTACGCCACTGATGTGTTCGTAAATAGTATTAGCACAGGTAGTGGAAACCATGGTATTAATTTGATGAAAATGTACTTGATCATTGCAACAATTCATGAACGCCGTAAGTGGCACTAATCAAGGGGGTTTTGCCCCTAATATATATAAATGTAAAAAGAGTACAGTTTGTCTTTATTTATCCTTGGGAAGCTGTGATAAAGTTTTGTCGGTCTATTTAAGAATCACCCTGTATAATTCGTACTAGTTCCGGTGGGGTGCACTTTCACCGTCTTGTATTTTTTAAAACTTCAGCCAACAATTTATCCGTTCTATTAAACTAAAGTAGTTTGTTTGGTGTTTTTCGTTAAGTAGGTACACAGCTTCAGCAAGTAGTTCTTCTTGATGAAAAAAACAAACGACATAACCTGACAGTGGTCTCCGCCATTTTTCTCAGTTCGGATGATATGCCTCTACCCTCGTTTTACATTTCAACATCGACAATTCCCAATTCCACAATTTATAATACATTAATTGACTTCTTGCTGTTTTAAATTTTTTGATATTTGAAGTTGAAATGTCAATGCTAGGAAGATACCAATCAACATGCTATGAATATAAAATTTTCTGAATGGCAAGATTATTCACTTTTATAATTTTTTATTGAAAAAATAAAGGCAAAGTAGAAAAAAACGTAATTACACTTGTTTTATAAGACTTATTGTCGCACTTAATCTTTTGGAGCACTCTTTCACGCGTCAATAGGTCGTCTTATAAAACTCGTATAATAGGCTAGCTTGCATCTCTGACTTCCTCTACGTAGATTTTCGATATAAATTTTTGTTGTTTCTCAAGAAGAAATGTGAGGATAGTTTGTTTATCTATTTTTTCTTGATTCATCAACTCAAAAAAACAACGTGGGAGCAGAGAGCCGATTTTTAAAAGAATGACGGAAGTACGTTACAAACGCTTACATTCCATTTCACCTCGTCGAATTTTCAAAAAGTGTCTTCTTAGTGCATTTCTACACCCTCAAAAGTCGAAATTTTATATTTATATTTCCGTTTAAATGCTTCATCCCGTAATACAGGGTTATTCATAAATATGAGGCAATATTTGAACCTCAAAAATGACCTATAAAATGATGTTAATTTAAATAATAACTCGTGTCCTATCTCTTCTGATAAGAATTTTACAGCCCTCGGAATGTGGGTATGGAAATTTGATATTTTTGTAATAACTTTGGAACTATTTGACCAAATATTATAAAATTTGGAACATTTCCCTGTGACAACATACCCTTCAAACTAACTGGTAATCACGAATACCGGATACATCCACTCAATTTCCGGTTCCAACAGTTGCAGGTCACATTTTCTGTGTTTTTCCATTTTTTTGCTCTCTTATTAACACAAATTTTTATTGCCCAAATCGATAGAGTAATCAATTTCGATTAAAAAACGCATAACCTTTAATACCCCTAAAATGGAAAATTCAAAACTTTGGAACGTAAGCAGCGTAGACAAAAAATTATCTCTACATTAGGGTAGATCAGTGTCAATGTTAGTGGGTCAATACTTGCTATTATAAAAAATTGCTCGAAATGTGGTCATTCGTTGGCAATGCACACTTCTTGTACTCTTCGGGCTAGGGAAGTTTGCGTTCGCACACACAGCCCTTCGAAGGTATAAATTTGAGCTGCGTACACTAATTCACTAATTGTTTCATGTGAACCCTCAAAAAACACACGTATTTAAATCTGGTGACCGCTGTGGTCATTGGCGACCAATCCATCTAGGGAAAATAATTGTTCAATCCATTGGTGACGACTTTGGCATAATTTGAATATCAGATGGAGCTCCACTTGTAAATACCGCATGTGTCGCCAAGGGCACGTCCTCCACCAGATCGGACAACACATTTTCCAAAAAATCCAGATAAACGGCACTAGTTAAACGTTCAGGTAATATGTGGGGTCCAATTTAGTGATCTTCAATGACCGCTGCCCAAACATTTAGTGAAAATCGGTCTTGGAAGTGATGTCCGTACACTAGTTAATTTGGCGTTTGAGTAGTTGGCCAAAATGACTTGATTGACAATTTGATTTCAAATCAATGTGCACAATTCACCCGAAAGCGCATTAACGACTAACTAAACTGACACAAGTGGTAATTTTTTTGGACAAAAAGTTTCCTTTTTTCTGTATAAAAACTTTCACGGTCAACATTCAATGCAATTTATTTTCATTGATATTTTTATTTCCAACTAACAAGGACAGATACACTGAACGGCTCGTGAAAATCATAGGGGAGAAATTGCAAAAATAAAATTTGGATACGGAATTTGTTTGGTCTTCAATTCGACTTTTCATAACAAATTCTCTTAGTGGTTAAAATATTTGCTCGCAATCCACAAACACCCTCTTTATACTATCTTGCACCCGTGACTTTGTCTAGATTTTCGATAGGTATACATTTTTGTTAATGAAATGTGAAGTTAGTGTGAATGTGAAATGTGAAGTTAGTCTGTTTATCTATTTTTTTTCTTGAGTCGTCAACTCAAAACAACGCGGAAGCAGAGAACCGATTTTTAAGAAAATGATGAAAGCATGTTACAGACTCCATTTCATCTCGTTGCATTTTCAACAACACTCTCAAAGTCAACTTTTTAAATTTCATGTTTATAGTTTCGTTTAAATGTTTACACCCTATTTCATCATGTTATAGGTTTGTTTTTGAAAAGTGCCTGATTAGTGCACTTCTTCACTCTCTAAGAATTATATTTTTCAAATTTTATCTTCGTTTAAACGTGTACAACCCATTTCACTCCCTTAGAAACTAATTTTTAAAAATCTCGTCTTAGTGCAGCTTTACAACCGCCAAAGAACATATCTTTCAAATTTATGATTCTATCTTTGTTTAAGTGTTGACAACCCGTTTCACCCTCTTATAAATATATTTTCAAAAAAATCTTTTCTTAGCGGACCTCTACACCCTAAGGAATATGTTTACTAAATTTGATATTTTTATTTTTATTTAATAATAATAAATTATATTTGTGTTAACAATGTAGGTACATTTAACACACGTCATATATCACATACCTAATTACATCACCAGTTTACATCATTTTAACAACATCACCAAAATGATCATGACTGTTAGTTAAAAACTCCTCAATCAAATAGAACGACCTGAACAGAAGATATTACTTTATATCATTCAAGAGCAGTTTAGGAGAGGATTTATTCATGACATGATTAGCGAGGCAGTTATAAAATTTAATACAATAATAATTTGTTGCATTTCTGGGTTAATCTAATATTATTTAGTAGATAGTAGATCTGGTTCAATAGTTATGAAAGGAATTTGAAGACTTATACAGGATGCGCCACAACTCGCGCCCCAGAGAAAAATGCCATATAAGGTAAGATACCAGGAACATGGTAAAAATGTTAAAAAAAATTTATCTATAAAAATTTCGAAGTTATGAGGGTTTAAAGTTTGCACTTTGACACTATTTATTTCTGTTGGAAAAATAATTTTCCAAGTTTTTTTGCTATATGCTATTAAAAGAGGAAACAAGGAAGCTGTATCCTAAATTGTAACTCTGTTCAATGTTATTTGTGGCTTTTATTGGCAAAATTTTTGTCCCTTTACTAAATAATTGTAAAAAAACATGTACAAGATCATCAGTATCATTAAATAGATATAAAAAAATGTCAAATGTCAAAAAGTAAATGTCAAAATTTTTTGACAGATAAAATTTTTTAAACATTTTTTTCATGTTCCTGGTATCTTACCTTACTTGAAAATTTTCTCTGGGGCGCGAGTTCTGGCGCACCCTGTATAAATGAGTATTTTGAAGGATGTATTCAAAACTCTTGTGTCTTGTGTATGTACGAACATGTTCTAAGTTTTTTAAAAAGTGTCGACAATCATCGCAAAAACCAATTTTTGACATGATTCTAATTACTCTGCGTTGTAACTTAGATAATCGATGAGATGCCGAAGAATGTCCCCATATAACAAACCATAATCTAAATATGTCTGAATTAATGTACAATAACTCACTTTTAATTTTTTTCTGAGACACAGTTGGACATGTTTCGAATTAAATATGTGTTTTTACACAGCTTGTATGCTACATAATCAACATGATGTTTCCAAGTGAAGTTTGAATCAACATATATACCCAAGAATTTAGTAAGTAAGTTTTTAAAGTAAATATTATTTTAACAGTTTTATTTTTTTAAAAGTTTAATTTATTAGCTAACATCCACTCTTTAGTAAACGCATAAAAATTTTTAATTTTTCTT